TAAAAATACGTGAATCACGAAATTCTTCCGTCCCGGCCTCTCTCAGAAAGAGCACTGGCTGTCCGGACCACGGGCAGGTGGCAGAGAAGTGCTCGTAAATTCAAAACACAGATGCCTGCCAGTCTGAAGAATTGCCCGGGGAACGCTACAGACACTTTGGGAGCCAGAACCCCCAGAGGACGGCGCATCGCAAATGCGCAGGAAGTGGTGTCTCCAGGGCCTCACGTCCGCGATCACTCTCTCGTCATGCACAGGCTGTCCGTGGTGTAAGAAGATGGACTAAGATAGCACCTCCGGAGGAAGCTTCTAGGAAAGAGAGCCATCGCTTTGTACGTTATTAAGAAACACAGAATCTTGTTCTGGAAAAAATCACACGCGTTCAGGAATTCCTAACTGGTGTCGCTTCCTCCTGATGTGGTACAGAAGTCACTGTCCTCTGTCACGTGGGCGGGTTGGCTGTTATCTCGTTCAGGTGAACCCAGACCACCCTCGGGTTTGTTCCCAGTCCTCAAATGCTAGCCTTTACGGAAAACCCGGTCAGACAGGAAGAGCGGTCTGGCTGGGCAGACAGGAAGGGCAGGAGTGTTTTGAGCCCCAGACATATTCTTAAGTCGCTGAACATCCAAGGCGAGGCGACTCTGCCTCCTCGCAAGGTGCAAGGACCAGGGTCCTCGAAAGGCAGCACCTCCTGTTCCCAACAAAACCCCGGGGAACGAAGTGGGAGCTGTCGGCCGCAGCGTCAGGAGCCCCCCCGGGGCAGACGCGGGGGTGCTGACCCAAAGTGAACGGCTCTGAACCCGCTCCTGCTGCAGGGCGGCCAGAAGTGGAAACGGGGCGTGCGTGTGGCCAAGCCCCCAACGCTTCCCCTGGACAGGAGGGCCCAGGGGCTTCTGGGTAAAGAAATGTCCAACAAGCAAGGCCTGTGCCCGGCTTCCCCGGGTCTGACACTTCCTCCTCCAGCGGCTGTGGCTGGGGGGGGTGGCCAAGGAGCCACGTGTGTCCCGAGAAAAGTTCTTCATCCCGGGGGGGCCGAGGGACACGGGATGGCAATAGAGCAAGAGCAGGGCTGGGCAAATGACACACCCGTCCCTTGTCTCGGCCAGGCTGTCCCCACCAGGCCCTGCTGTTGAAATGGCACCTCACTGGGAGAGAAGCTCCAGAGCCGACCCAGCTGGGGTCCAGGCAGGCTGGGGCTGAGCGTGGAGATGGACCTCTGCCACGTGCCGGAGGGTCTGGTCTTCCTTCCTTCCTCCCTCCCTTCCCCTCTCCTCTCCCCTCCTCTCCTCTCCTTTCTTTCTCCTTTCCCCTTCCTTTCCCCTTTCTCCTTTCCTTCCTTTAAAAAAAAATGTGGCCCTGGCTGGTATGGCTCAGTTGGTTGGGGCGTCATCCTGCAACCAAGAAGTTGTAGGTTTGATTCCTGGTCTGGGCATGTATGGGAGGCAACCAATTGATGCTTCTCTCAGGCATCAATGTGTCTCTCTCTCCCTTCCTCTCTCTCTAAAAGCAATGAAAAAAAAATGTTCTCAGGTGAGGATAAAGGAGAAAATGCAGCTCGCAGACAACAGAGGGCAGAGACAACGTAAAACTTTGTAAGGAAAACCACCCTCGCCTTTCAGGTCTGGATCTCATCGAACTGGGTCAGTCTGGGGGGCACAGCAGCGCTTGGGATGTTCACAGCCCTCCCCCCTCTGCCCCCCGAAGATTTTCACTTTATAGCCCCAGGTTTTTCGGAGCCTCCCCGGGGGCAAACCAGAGCATTCTGCCGGCCCTCCTACTTGAGCTCAGTTACCCTCGGAAAATCAAATTGTCTTTATTCTTAGCAACCCTATCTCATCATTGCTCCATTCACCTTTCAAAGGGCTTACGGGCTCTAAGTCCACTTGCCAAGGGGATCTGACTCCAAGTTGTCCCTTGGACAAGTTGTGGATGTCTGGATGTCTCCAGTCACGTAAGTTCAGAAAACGCCCCTCGGGAGACGTTTCTGGGAGACTGGAGGTGCACTTCTGCACGTAGGGGGGCGGGGGTGAGAAGTCCTGCAGCTACCAGCTTCTCCCGAACCTGCCCGTCCTCCACACAAGACAGCTGGCCACACGGCATCCCAGGAAGCAGTCGCCGGGAAGCACTGCCTCGAATTCGGCTGGGGCAGCCACCGAGCCCTGCCCGCCGGCCCCACCCTGCCCACCCAGGACTGTGCTCTGGGGGTCCTGTGAACCCAAATGCAAGACCCAACAGTGACTCCTCAAATGCGTCGTCTTGGTACCTCAGCCCCACACACCCGGCCGGACGAGGTCTTCACAGAACCCAATTCCCAGAACCCTGTTTGTCCTGGACACGCATCTCTCTAGCGGATGCTTCCACAAGCACACGCATGTCTGCGGGAAAAGGGGAGCCTCCAGGGGAAGCCGAGCCCCCAACGCGGCCAGTGGAGCCCCACACGCACTGCCCCTCCTGGCAGGCCACCCCGGGAGAGGCCCTTCCAGGGTGTGAGAGATGAGTTCTATGTGGCTTCCAAGGCGATGCATTCATTTGAAGTGGTTTTTCCATCAAAAGGCTCCAAAGTGAAAAGTCGTCGCTGGGAAGTTGAATTATGACCTGATGCCGGTAGCAGCAGCGGGTAACTCCAGGGGAAGGGGGCGGGGGCTGGTGTCTGGGAGTTGGGGGCTCATTAACACTCACTTCTTAAATTAGCAAGTCCTTCTGGCACCTGTTTAAAAATAGCAACCTAATGGTTTCTAAAATTAGCAGTCATTGCCCTCCATAAATATTCAGACCTCCAATAAACTTCTGGTCCACTTCCCTACACTAATGGGGTCAAGCAGGCTTAGCTTTCATGCTGCATTCCTTGGGATTGGTGCACTTAATGCAGGTTGACCTTGACAGACAAGGGCTGTGAGAAGCCTGGGAGAGTCCTGGAGCAGGGACGGCCTGTGGGGCCCCTCAGCCAGCAGGAGACTTCAGGCAGGACTGCAAGGGTCTCAGAAGCCATTTGGAGAAGTCCTCCCCATCCGAGCTGCCTGGACGAACCAGCTGCCCTGATTTGCCTGGGACTGTCCCGATTTCAACCTGAAAAGTCCCCTGTCCCAGACCACAGTTCGTCACCCTGGCCACTACGCCACTGCACCAGGCCCAGCTCTGAGATGTCCTCAGGGAGGAGAGAACATGGACGGTACCCTCTCGGCTCTCACGCCAACTTCAGCCCTGTGGGTTGAGAGAGACGGTGTGTGAAGCAGCAAATAAACCATGGGAAGGGCTGGTCAGGCCCGGCCTAGAATTGCCACCCCCTGCGGCCAGTTTCCCCACATGTAAAAAACACTGGGGTGCTGGGGGGACTCCCCTGGGCAGCCCGTGCCCCTGCCGGGGAAGCACCTGCCACTACTCAGGCCCAGGAAGTGGGCGCGACAGCGGGCGTCAGCTCTCCTGGTGGGCACCGGGTGCAGCAGGTAGGTCGGGGCAGCAGCTCTGGCCCCGCCCACCAGAGCGACCTCCTCAGAGGCCCCTCCTCCTCCCCAGCTGTGGCCTAGGACAGCAGTAACTCGTGTGTGTGTGTGTGTGTGTGTGTGTGTGTGTGCGCGCGCGCGTGTGTGTTGTGGGGCGGGGAGGGGGGCGCTCTCCCCAGCCCCGAGCTCAGCACCTGCACAGAGCGCGCTCACTCGCGGAGTGGGAGGGAAGCAGGCTGCCCCAGGAGAGCCAGTATCGCGAGAAGAGGCACGCAGCCAACCAGCAGAGCATTGGTGTGAGAACACCGGTGCCGGACAATCCATCATTTAAAACCTCCGCAAAAGCCTCAGCCCTGCCCCTCCCCCCATCGGACCACCGCGCGTCCTGTGGGCACCGCGTCGTTTTGGTGTTACCTGGTTTTGTTTGTGTGCTCACGGACTGCTTGCCACAAGGCTCAGACAGTTAAAGCCTCTGTATACTTTAAAAGCCATCTTTTGAAAAAAGACGATGGTGGCACGTATCGCTTGTTTGTTACAACAGACAAGTCCTTCATCGCAGCGTAGGGGATTTCTTCACTAGGGGCCCAGACCTGAAGACGAGAAGGCCATGGGATCCCAAGCCAGACAGCGGGCAGGAGCGGCTGCCTTGCCTGGGAGATGCCCTGCCAGCCCAGTGCTGCCCCCTGCAGCCTTTCCGTGGAAGTGCAGGGCAGTTCTCCTCTGTAAAAGAAAGCTGCAGGTTTTGCCTACTGAAAGCTTCACCAGTGTTGGATACTGAAGTGACTTCATTAGCTTAGAAGCTTTTCTCCCTTCAGAAGACGCTTGGGGACCATGAGCCCCACCTCACGCTGCAGAGGGGCACGAGGGGAGGTGCCCCTCCGGGTGGGCGGGAGGTTCACTGGTTTGCGGTCTGGGCTGCAACACCTAAGGGGCGGGCGACCTTAGTAATCTCTGTCCCCTGACATCAGTGGGCAGTCTCTGAGGTCACCTCCAGCTCTGGGATTCTGGAAGGCAGCATCTGACCTAGGGATGCTAAACTCCGCCCTTCCTAAGCACTCCGGGGGCGTCTCCCACCGTCAGAAAATCTTTCGCTTTAAAGAGTCCAAGGCCGTTTCTGAAATCGTAAGCCACATAGACGTGAACACTGTCTGTCCCAGCAACTGGAGTGATCACTGATGACACAGGATAAAATGAGGGTCCAGGGCAGCAGAAGTGTCGGAGGGTGGGCACAAGGTAGGACTTCCCGCGCATGCCTGGTAAGTGCGGAGAGGTCAGAGGTCACGCCGTGGCGTGCCCTTCCCTGGGGTCCTCCAGGGGCTCGACCCACCAGCCTCCCGCTGTCACCCCTTCCAGGAAAGCGTCCTAGAAGAGCAGCTTAGTCATTCACCCCATGACGTCTCGGAAACTATTTCTTTAAAATATGCTGATTGCCGTACCCACCGCCTATGGAAAACCCGGTTTCCGCGGCAGAAATAAATGCACCGAGATAATATTTAACCCGTGTCCTCTCTCTCCCTCCCGCCTCCCGGCTTCATTAGGACTCCGGCGGGCGCCTGAGCCAGCGCGGCAGCCAGCCGGGGCCATGGCCAGCACGGCCGTGCAGCTGCTGGGCTTCCTGTTCAGCTTCCTGGGCCTGGTGGGCACGCTCATCACCACCATCCTGCCGCACTGGCGCAGGACGGCGCACGTGGGCACCAACATCCTGACGGCTGTGTCCTACCTGAAGGGGCTGTGGATGGAGTGCGTGTGGCACAGCACGGGCATCTACCAGTGCCAGATCTACCGCTCGCTGCTGGCGCTGCCCAGCGACCTGCAGGCGGCCCGCGCGCTCATGGTCATCTCCTGCCTGCTGTCGGGCGCGGCCTGCGCATGCGCCGTCATCGGCATGAAGTGCACGCGCTGCGCCAAGGGCACGCCGGCCAAGACCACCTTCGCCATCCTGGGCGGGGCGCTCTTCATCCTGGCCGGCCTGCTCTGCATGGTGGCTGTCTCCTGGACCACCAACGACGTGGTGCAGAACTTCTACAACCCGCTGCTGCCCAGCAGCATGAAGTACGAGATCGGGCAGGCCCTGTACCTCGGCTTCATCTCCTCGTCCCTGTCCATCATCGGCGGCACCCTGCTCTGCCTGTCCTGCCAGGACGAGGCGCCCTCCAGGCCCTACCCCGCCCCGCCCAGGGCCGCCACCGCCACGGCCACCGTACCCTCATACCGGCCACCCGCCGCCTACAAGGACAACCGGGCTCCCTCGGTCATCTCGGCCACGCACAGCGGGTACAGGCTAAGTGACTACGTGTGAGTCCCCGGGCCTGTCCCTCCCTGAGCCCTGAGGGACCGGGACCCAGGACCCTGGCGCAAAGTTTACTTCTGGGCTGCTTTTGTGCCCGAAAGGAGAATGTGAACGTGAGGAAATGGAGCACAGGGAACCAGGGAAAATACGAGGAGAAAAGCTCTGTATACCAAAGACTAAAAAAAGAAACTCTCTGTTTTTGTATTTATTTTATGTATTTATGTGGGTGATTTAAAAACAGCTGAATTTAAAGCAACTTGGGGGTTTGGTCAGTGGGATTTGCTTGCGATGCAGGAATAAACCTTTTGGATGTGGTTGTTTATGAGATGGGCAGTACTCGTTTCTGTTCCAGGCTGTGGCTCTGCCTGCGCAGGTGCTGGTAACCACGGCCCACCGCCAGGGGCGCTGCATCGCAGAGCACTGGAGCCGCTCAGGGGGCAGCCAGGACCCCGCAGGACGGGAAAGCCAGAGGGGGGCTGGGCGGAACTCCATCCAAAAGAGGCTTGGGCAACACCCACCCTCACCAGGTGCCACATCCCAGCTTACCCCCGGAGGCAGGGCAGGAAGTGCAGGGCTTCCCTAGGATAAAGGTAATTGTTGTAAATCGCAAAGTAAAGACACAGTCATTTTCCACCGGTAAGCAGTAGGCCCCCGCTCGTAAGGAAGCCCCTCAGGAGGGAGGAGAAAGCGGCAAAGCAAAAACCTGCCTGCTAGCTGGGCCCTCCAGGCATTGGCAGGGAGCCCAGCCGGGGTGCTGCTCACTCCCCCAGGGGCCTTGGCAGGGTGGATGGAAGCACTGTGGCAGCGGCCGTGGGGCAGGGACAAGAGTCTGTTGACTGTTCTGTTAGCAGGACTCCTGGGAGGGCCAGGGGCGGTCCGACTGCTTTCGGGATCCTGATGATGCTTTCTGGCTGTGGTCCGACTCACTGGGTCAGAGAGCTGTACATGATCGCACACACACACGCACACACGTGCACGCACACCCATGATGTGCCCTGAGGGTGCCCTGCTCATGCCTCTGTGCCCACCTCCGGCTCTGACTGTGGAAGGAGACACCCGGCCGTGTGGAAGGGCTGAGTCCGAGACCCACACACAGAGCAGCAGGCACCTGAAGCCCCGCCCCCCCTTCTCAGCAACATTAGAGAGTCGGGTTTAAGGAACAGTCCCACGTGCATTTCTTTTCTACTTCTTGCTGACCTCGGGGAGGAGGCGCGGGTGCTGTGCATTTTAGCTCCAGTCTGACCACACAGAGGGTTCGGGAGCTGGGATCTGCCCTCCCAGCTAGGCTATGAATTTGGATCCGGAAGATCACCCTTTATTTATGATGATCAAGCAATTTGAACCTATTGTTTAAATTGTAAAAACACATTGGAATCAATAAAAAGGAAATAAAATCTTCTAAAAATCGAACGATGTTCTGTTCTCTCAGTCCTGCCTCGACAGTCACAGTTGAGAATGGCTAGTGATGTTATTCTGGTTAACAGACCGATTACAAATGAAAGATAAAATAAAATAGCTTTTTTCAAACTCTTTCTCTGAATTCTATCCCTACTAAAATAAAGTGTCCCTTCCTCCTACTCAGGTGAAAGACTAACAATAATAATGCTTACAATTCACCGAGCACCTACTCTGTGCAAGGCATACTTTTTGCTTTCTCATTTGATCCAGTGAGACACCTGACAACCCAATGAGGTAAATGCTATTCTTATCCCCATTTGACAAAGAAGATAACTTAAAGCACATAGAGATATTTGCCCAGGGTCACAGACCCAGGACTGAAACCCAGACAGGTAAGCGGCAAACACTTTAGCTGAAGTAGGGCGATGACCTACAATCTGTTCACGTTTACGTCTAGACCACTTCCAAATGAGTAAGTGGATTATCTGTGGCCAGAGTTGGCTCTTTCCAGCACCATCCCTCCACTGAGCCAAGTTCCAGTTGGACTAGATGAAACAGATCAGACCCAGGAGTTCAAGTTTGAGTACGGAGAGAAAGTAGGAAGTGACACACAGCCAGGCCTGTCCCACCGCCAGTCCAGCAAACAGGAAGTAGACCCAAATGAGACCTCGAGAGCCCCCCACCCCAAGCACCAGTTTGTACGAACGTGGTTCCCAGCTTCCACTTGCTGAGTTGCTGGCGTTTAGACCCAAGACAGGCACCTGTGGTCCTTTGAGCCCCTCTTTGGCCACATGACCCCCCAGGCCATCAAGTAGACTCCTGTTGCTGCCCAAATCTTCGGCACGAGGCAGGTTGAGCCAAGGGTGTCCTGACAAAAGTATGGGCCCCTTTCGAAGGTGAAACCCGCAGCCCCAAATCTCAGACTAGGAAGGAAACGGGAGTCAGACTCGCGGACGTTTCCCAGGAAACCATTGTTACGGACAGAAATGACAGCTGATTCTCGTGGGACGAGACATGCTCTCTTTCTTTGCTTCTCTGGAATCCGGTTGGGCTCTGAGGCAGCGACGTCTGAAGCCGGAGACGTCTTTTTCTGTTCACCTGCACTTAGGAGGTCACAGCGCCCCTGGACTTGGAGAAGGGGTGAAGCCCAGTATCCAGTCCTTGGGGGCACCCCAATGACCCGCGCTGACTGCCCGCCCGGTGCCTGTGCCGGCACAGCCTGGGGCATCCCCATGCCCGTCCACCCCCAGGGTTGTCCACAGCGGCCCCAGCCCCTCCCCAGCCCTGTGTGTACGTAGGCTCTGGAATCTTCCACCCTGGGAGACCCTGGGCAAAATAACCCTTGTCCCCCTTCCTGAGAGGAAGTCAGGCCCCTCCCAGACTCAGAGCACCCGAGTGTCCCCCCTTCATGGACAACACACCCTGATGGCTTTCAGGGCCTTATCTGTGTGAAGTCCAGGCCTGGGAAATCTCCCAGAGAACCCTGCTCTCGTGTAGCTCCTCTTGCGCTACCTGGGAATAATTGGAAACCCACAGCACTCTTGCCGTTTGCATGACAGCCCATCGCTTGACGGTAATCAGCTGAAACGGAGCTGGGATCTGCACCCGGCATGTCGGGCCACGGAGCCCCACACTGGGCCACAGTGCTGTCTGGCTCCCCCCGGCCTCCGAGTGTCTTTGCTTGCTCGCCGCCAGGCAGTGACAATCGGGGCAGGAGACGGGGGTCTGGAGCAGGTGGCCACCGTGGAGGGCAGGAGGGGTCGGAACGTTTCTGAAGGCAGAGCTAGTGGGGTTTGCTGATGGCATGGTAGCAGATGTGGGGAAAAAGAGCCTTAAAGGGCAGCACCTGGATCTGGGGCTGGACCAACTAGAAACACGGAGTCACCGTTTTCCGAAATGAAGAAGACTTTGGGGAGAAAAGGTTCCAGTCTGCTAAGGGAGTGAAACAGATAGCTTCTTCTGCGTGTTAGGTCTCAGCTATCTCGGTGAAGATGCCAAGTCGTGTAAGCTGGAGTGCAGGGAGAGGTCGATTTGGGGGCCGTCAGCCTGGGAATCTTCTCGAAGCCATGAGCTAGAAGAGGCCACACGAGTGAACATAAACGAGGAATTCAAGGGGCTGGCAGGGGCTGTGGGGGGGAGCCGGGGCATGCAGAGGTTCCCGTGTGGATGCGGAGGGGGTCGTAGTGACGCAAGCAGACGAAGAGCCCGCGGCGAGTGGGGGCCGGGAGAAGGAGGGCTGCTCCGGGAGCCCAGGGGGAGGGCGCCATCGGCAGGGCTAACTCAGCGCTTCAAGCTGCACAGCGACTAGGAGGCGAGGGCACGATGGCTGCTGTCTGCATTCCACAGGCGAGGAGACGGGGCTGGAAAAGGTGAGGAAACTTTCTGAGGACTGCTGCACGGGAGAGTCCGCCGCCACAGATGGAGAACGTAAAACTGACAACATAAAATGGAATAAAAATAGCCTCTTCAACAAATGGTGTTGGGAGAACTGGACAGCCACGTGCAAAAAAATGAAACTTGAGCACCAACTTACACCATATACAAAAATAAATTCAAGGTGGATAAAAGACTTAAATATAAAACATGGCACCATTAAAGTCCTAGAGGAGAACGTAGGTAGGAAAATCTCAGATATTTCACGAAGAAACTTTTTTACTGACATGTCCCCTAGAGCAAGGGACATAAAGGAAAGAATAAACAAATGGGACCTCATCAAAATTAAAAGTTTCTGCACAGCTAAAGAAAACAGTATCAAAATTAAAAGAGAACCAACTGTATGGGAAAACAAACATATTTGCCAATGACACCTCAGACAAGGGTTTAATCTCCAAAATATATAGAGAACTTACACGACTGCACTCTAAGAAGACAAGGAATCCTATTAAAAAGTGGGCAAAGGACTTGAACAGACACTTCTCCAAGGAGGACATACAGAAAATCCAAAGACACGTGAAACCATGTTCAATATCGCTAGCTATCAGAGATGCAAATTAAAACCACAATGAGATACCACTTCACACCAGACAGAATGGCCATCATAAACAAAGCAACAAACAACAAGTGTTGGAGAGGATGTGGAGAAAAGGGAACCCTAGTGCACTGTTGGTGGGACTGCAGACTGGTACAACCACTATGGAAAGCAGTATGGAACTTCCTCAGAAAACTAAAAATGGATCTGCCTTTTGACCCTGCAATCCCACTGCTGGGACTCTATCCTAAGAACACTAAAACACCAATCCAAAAGAACCTATGCACCCCAAGGTTCATAGCAGCACAATTTACAATAGCCAGGTGCTGGAAGCAACCTAGGTGCCCATCAGTAAATGAGTGGATCAAAAAACTATGGTACATTTACACAATGGAATTCTACGCAGCAGAAAGAAAGAAGGAGCTCCTACCCTTTGCAACAGCATAGATGGAGCTGGAGAGCATTATGCTAAGCGAAACAAGCCAGGTGTTGAAAGACAAATACCATATGATCTCACCTTTAACAGAAACCTAAACAACAAAACAAAGAAACAAGCAAAATATAACCAAAGACACTGAAATAGAGGACAGGCTGACAGTGACCACAGGGGGAGAGTAGAGGGAATTTCAGGGGACATTGGGAA